GGGAGGATGGGTTAGCCTGGTGGTGGGTATTGAAGAGGGCACATTCTGCACGGAGCACTGGGTGTTATGCACAAACAATGAATCATGGAACACTACATCTAAAACTAATGATGTAATGTATGGGGATTAACATAAGAATAAAAAAAATATGTTGAATAAAAGTGATGAGAGTGAAAAAAAAAATGGAGGTAAGTCATAAGATTTCAGCTGGAAAAGACTATCAGTTAGCCTTTGCTGCAAAATAAACTACCTCAAACAACAATCAAACAACAATGACATCTAACAGCAATCATGTATTGGCTTACAGTTCTGTGGGTTAGCAATTTGGGCTGGGTTAAGTTGGTGGTAACTCTAGGTTTCATCTGGGCTGACCGTTTAATCTAGGTTGGACCTCACTCATTTGTCTGGTGGTTAGCAAGCTCTCTGCAGAGGTGCATGTCTCAGTCTTCTGGGTGGCCTTTCTAGCAGGCTAGTTTCTAGCAGGCTGTGAGCTCTGTCTTTGCAGTGGTCCCACTGATCTAGAACAGTAGGTGTTGGCAAGTACTTTTCAAGCCTCTACTTATATCATGTTTGCTAATATGCAAAGCAAGTCACATAGCCAAGTCCGGATTCAAGGAGTGAGAACATAGACTTCTTTTTTTTTTTTTTTTTAAGGTTTTATTTATTTATTTGACAGAGAGACACACAGCGAGAACAGGAACACAAGCAGGGGGAGTGGGAGAGGGAGAAGCAGCCTTCCTGCTAAGCAGGGAGCCCGATAGGGGGCTCGATCCCAGGACTCTGGGATCATGACCTGAGCTGAAGGCAGATGCTTAATGACTGAGCCACCCAGGCGCCCCGGAGACATAGACTTCTTGATGGGAGGAGTAGCAAGGAGGCCCCACACAGCGATGGGAGGTATTTGTGACAATTTTGCAATCTTTTTCAAGGTTTTCTGTTTGAAGCCTTGATGTCATGTGGGAGGAGGATCCCTCTGATTTCTTTCCTAATTGAAATGGTACATTGTTCCTGACTTTGACAAATGCTGGGGAGGATTTCCTCTCTGTCCTGGCAAGCCTGGTGTTGGGGTAAGCAAGGGGGTAAGCAGGGCCTAGCAGCTGTGTGCAGATTTCAGATTATCCTGTGCACAGACAGGAGGGAAAAAGTCTCCTCCTTTGTTGAGGAGTCTCCCATCCCATGGGGGGAAGTGGAAGGACAAGGCAACCCCTAAGGAAATCTAGGGGAGAGAAACAGCGGCACCGCTGTAACGTGTTTGGAGATTAGCTTTGTAGAGCAGACCATATGGGGTATTTTCAGGTAGGAAGGCAGGCTTTGAGAAAGGGGCATGCAGTCAGAGCTTGGCCAAGTTCAGTCCCATCTAAGTTGGGACTGACAGCCAGGAGTCCGGTTCAAAATTCCAGAGAATGTGTGCATGAGGATCACTCCAGCAAAATATATATTCTTTAATACTAATGGGGGCTGTCAGTGAAACCTTATATGAGCACTGTAACATAGTGATTACAAATGTGGCCCTGAGCAAGTTCCTTAACCTAAGCCTAAGTAAAATGGAAACAATAGTTGTTGGGAATATCATGTGAAATAATCCATGTAAAGCATGGAGTGAGTTCTAAGTACATAACATGATGATGATGGTGATGGTGAGGATGATGATAATCGGGGCTGGACCCCTCTTGTTGTCTGTCTCTTTAATAGCAAGCGCAGAAGGGCAACCGTGAAGCAGAAAGATAATCTTATTTAGAATGTTAATTTTGAGTGCTTATTTAGAATGCCAAAGTCAAGGAAGGCATCAAGCCTTGAGTTTCTAATTGCCTATGGAATGCTTTATTTTATAGAGGTCCTGCTGGAAGCTCTGTTCCTTACCGTGGATCCTTATATGAGGTATGATTTTCCTCCTAAAAATTCATGTGTTATGCTTTGGATCCTGTTTTGAAATAGTCCATCTTTTAAAATATCCAACTGATTGTCTCTTCCCCCAGTTGTCCCAGTATAATATCAGCATTAAGATTCATGGTTGCTCATCTTTGCCAGCAAAGGTTTGAGAAGTTTGATGAGGGATTACCTTGGCTCCGTTATTTGACCACCATTTCCTCTCTTAATGTGCACAATTTGCCTCTCATTGCTCCCCAAAAATAAAAGACTAAAGAAGCCCAAATCCAATTTGTCCATTTCACTACTGACAACTAATTTGGGTAGAGGAAGATGGTAAGACTAAAATAAGCTTTTCTTGCCTTCCATTTACCTGTATTCTTTTAATTTAATCAAATATTTGTACTCAGTAAACAATCCAGGGAAGGGAGGGAATGAAAGCCTTTATGGGGCACTAACTTCTCAGTAATTTTTGCCTATTGATAAATAATGTAGTCATCATTCTTTAAAATAATTGTTTTCAGAACTGATCAATAGAGATTCAAATCTAAGGTAAAAAAATGTTTCCAGATGTTAACTAGCATCCCTTTTTGTGTGGCTGGTATGATTCTGTGACAATAATTCTAATTTGTAAATTTTTCTTTTCCCCCTACAATACCAACCAATTCTCTAATACCAGCTGGTTGTCCTACAATTCAGTTCTGACACTATCTAACTGTAGATCCCACAAGTGAAGGTGTCAGTCTTACAAGACTGCCCCTCCCCACACTTCTGATGCCAATCCCAAGTCCACATTGTTACCTCTACTTCTGACCAACAGGCTATAGATCCGAGGCTCCAAAGACCCCCTCCTTGGGTTCAATTAATTTGCTAGAGCAGCACATAGAACTCAGGAAACCAGTTTACTCACTAGCTTACTGGCTTATTATAAAAGGGTATGATTTGGAAACAGTCACATGGAAGAGATGCGTAGGGCAAAGTATGTGGGAAGGGGCAAGGAGTGTCCATGCCCTCCCCAAGGACACCACTCTCCCCACCTCTCCTCATGTTCACCAACCCAGAACCTGTCCTTTTAGGGTTTTATGGAGGCTCATTACATAGGCATGATCGATTAAATCATTGACTGTTGGCAATTGATTCAACCTCTAGCCCCTCCCCACTTCCTGGAGGTCTGGGGAGGGGGCAGTGAAAGTTAGAGCCCTCTAATCATGTGGCTGGTTCTGGCAACCAGCCCCCAACCTTAGGTGCTTTCCAAAAATCACCTCATTAATATAACAAAAGATGCCTTTATCACTCTCATCACTTCGGAAATCCCAGGAGTTTAGGAGCTCTATGCCAGAAACGGGATGTAGATAGAATACATTAGTTCTTACTCTAAATCACAATATCACAGCTAGTGATTTGAGAAACAAGTACCCAGTGGTGTCTGGGTTATGTTTTAAAAGTTACTGGTAGAAACTCATCCACAATGGAGCATGATGGTAAGATTCTCATATTCATTTCACAGAAAAATGCTATCAGAATGCTTCCCTGGGGTCACAGCAGAACTACCTCTAACATCTCTCCTCTTGCATTTCACCCAATTATTTTGCCTTTATGTATCAGCACACACTTTTCCCATTGATTTTCCATGTGGCCTGAAACTCAAGATGGTTTTCCCCAGATGCTCTTTTTTTTCTTTTTAAAAGAGAGAGAATCCTTGCACGCAAGCAAGAGAAAGGGGTGGGGATGGGGGCAGAAGGAGAGGGAGAGAGAGAATCCAAAGGCAGGGTTTGATGACCCAGTCAAAATCAAGAGTCAGATGCACAACCAACTGGGCCACCCAGGGGCCCCTCCCCAGATGTCCTTATTTATTAAGAATGGATTTTTTTTTCAGAGTGGCGGCCAAAAGATTGAAGGAGGGTGATATGATGATGGGACAGCAAGTGGCCAGGTATTTCTGTGTGTCTCAGTGCTTGAAAAATATGTCTCTCCTTTACCTCCTTCTGGGTCCACCTCTGTCTATCACCCCTACAGTTTCTTCAGTCCGTGTGATTCACTCACTGATCTTAGAAGCAACTTGGGAAATCTTGCCCCTTTCTTGACTAATTGGAAAGGAGGGAAGCCTGTGAAATTGACATCGTTGCAACTCTTAAACTTAAAAAATTGTAATTGTCCAGTTTATGACTATGGCAAAAATTCAAATAAATCAAAAATTTGTATCTTGGAAACTGAAAGTTCCCTTATCTTAATCTGAACCTTAGAGGTGACTGTTGTTAATGTATTATTCTTTCAAAAATTGCTTAGTACACAAATAAATATTTATAATTTTTCTTAAATAATGGGATTATATGCCCTTCAACAAATTGCTTTTTCTCACTTAATATGTTATGGATATCTTTTGTTGATAAAATGTAAATATACTACCTACCTTTTAGTGGCTGCAGATTTTTTTAAATCAGTCCTTTTTTTTCTCCCAAAGATTTTATTTACTTATTTGAGAGAGACAGAGAGAGCACAAGTGGAGGGGGGAGGTACAGAGGGAGAAGCAGACTCCCCACTGAATCAGGGAGCCTGACACAGGGCTCGATCCCAGGACTCCAGAATCACAACCTGAGCTGAAGTCAGACGCTCAACCAACTGAGTCACCCAGGCACCCCTTAATGGCTGCCAATTTATCCCATTGTTACCTGCCATGTAACTAATCTACTCCTGGTAGCAACTGTTTCCAGTTTTTTCTATCACAAATAGTTCTGCAAGGAACATGTATGCCTCTTTTTGTGCATGTCTGTGTATTTGCCTACTTAGATGAATATTGCTTCACATTAAATTCCCAAAAGTATAAATTCTAGGTCAAAGGAGATGCATATTTTATTAACTTATATATTTATTTATAAAGATTTATTTATTTATTTTAGAAAGAGAGAGAGCACAGGGTTGGGAAGGGGCAGAGGGAGAGGGATAGATTCTTAAGCAGACTCTACGCTGAGCACAGAGCCCAACACGGGGTTCGATCTCAGCACCGTGAGGTCACGACTTGAGCCTAAACTGAGTCAGATGCTTTTTTTTTTTTTAAAGATTTTTAAAATTTTTATTTATTTGACAGAGAGAGAGACAGCGAGAGAGGAAACACAAGCAGGGGGAGTGGGAGAGGGAGAAGCAGGCCTCCTGCTGAGCAGGGAGCCCGATGTGGGGCTCGATCCCAGGACGCCGGGATCAAGACCTGAGCCGAAAGCAGACGCTTAATGACTGAGCCACCCAGGCGCCCCTCGAGTCGGATGCTTAACCAACTGTGCCACCCAGGTGCCCGAGAGATGCACATTTTTTTTAAATGAGCAGTCATCTGATTTATAAAAAGATGCAACAATATTTAAAATGATACAAAATATCAATTTCAAAACAACTTCAAAAAGTGAGTGTATTTAACCATACTCAGCTCGTAACAGAGCAAATGGGTAAGAAGAATAATTCACGCTTATAGCATATTGCTAATATGAACTGGCAACAGAAAAAGTTGGTAAAGGAAGGCAGAGGAACTCTTATCTTTTAAGAATTAGGGGCGCCTGGGTGGCTTGGTCGTTAGATGTCTGCCTTCAGCTCAGGTTGTGGTCCCAGGGTCCTGGGATCGAGCCCTGTATCCTGCTCAGCGGGAAGCCTGCTTCTCCCTCTCCCACTTTCCCTGCTTGTGTTCCCTCTCTCGCTGTCTCTCTCTGTCAAATAAAAAAAAGAAAAAAAGAATTAGAACCGAGGGGCTCCATTATCATCTGGCATCCACTCAATGTTGTACCTATGGTTAGAAATGTACATAATGGGAACTCTAGGGATCTTCCGGATTCGTCCTTTAAGGTCCTGGTCAACTTGGCCACAGTGTAACACTTGTGCTGAGTTACTCTCTGTACTAAGCAGTCATCTGCATAGGCTCCTTTGTGTGTGCATGGTAATGGTTCAGATCTTGGCTCCTTGGCAATCCTTAGAGCCACTCAATACTTTTGCCGCAGTTTCTCAGTTTGAGCCATTACACAGTCAGTTCTACAAGAGATACACTTGGCATACAGACAGTCCATCATTGACTGTACTAAGTCAAGTTTGGCTTGAATGGAAAAATTGATAAAGTTGGTATCAACCAGGATGTGGTAAGGTGGGCCCAGCTCTGTGTTATATTGGAAGAATAAGCAGGGAGGATGTTGGGGGACTTTTCTTTCCTTGAGTGCACTGGGATCTTCCTTTTCTTTCTTTTTAGGTTTTAATCTATCCTCTTTAAGCCTCTGATCTCGAAGACTAAGCATTCGCTTCATGGTAGCATACTTTCTTGCTTTCTTTTGCTTCCCTATGTTCATGCTGTACTCTTGTTTCTTCCGGAATCACCAACCCAATAGATGCACATTTTTTTTTTTAAAGATTTTATTTATTTATTTGAGAGAGAGAAAGAGACAGAGAGCACGAGAGGGAAGAGGGTCAGAGGGAGAAGCAGACCCCCCGCTGAGCAGGGAGCCCGATGCGGGACTCGATCCCGGGACTCCAGGATCATGACCTGAGCCGAAGGCAGTCGCTTAACCAACTGAGCCACCCAGGCGCCCTTTTTTTTTTTTTTTAAAGATTTTATTTATTTATTTGAGAGAGAGAATGAAAGACAGAGAGCACGAGAGGGAAGAGGGTCAGATGCACATTTTTAATTTGAAGTTTTGATGTCAAATTTCTCTTCAAAAAGATGGTATGAATATCCACTCCCACCAATAGCATATTAAAGAACTTGTTTCCTCATACCTATATGCCCATTGCTTATCATCTTGGCAATCTGAGATGAATTCACATTGATATTTCCATTTAACTTCCATTTCTTTCATTATTAGTGATGTTGACATTTTTTTTGTAAATTAATCATCAGTTTTCTTCTGTGAACTATGTTTATGTCTTTTCCTTTGTTCCTTTAGGTCTTTTTATCTTTTATAGTGATTTGTAAGATCTTATATGTTAGGAATATTAGTGTTGCAAATATTTGGATCTTTGTTTATCTTTATCTTTCTCCCATGTCCAATCATAGTTTAAAATTTTTATGTGGAGGCACCTGGGTGGCCCAGTTGGTGGAGCGTCTGACTCTTGGTTTTGGCTCAGGTTGTGATCTGAGGATCATGGGATTGAGCCCCGCATCTGGCTCTGCCCTCAGCGTGGAGTCTGCTTGAGAGAATATTAAGCAGGCTCTGCACCCAGCACAGAGCCCGGTGCAGGGCTTGATCTTACAACACTAAGATCATGACCTGAGCTGAAATCAAGAGTCAGATGCTTCACAAACTGAACCACCCAGGCACCCCTAAATTCATTTCAGTTTTAAAGGATTCTTACTAACATGGGAAAAAGTGTAAGTCATATATACTAGTATAATGTTGAGAGAGAAAAACTGGGTTACAAAACAAAGTGATTTCAATTATGTAAATACATATACATTTTTAAAAATGCATTTGTTTTTTTAATTCCAGTAGAATTAACATACAGTGTTACTAGTTTCAGGTATACAATATAGTGATTCAAAAATTTTATACATTATTCAGTGCTCATTACAATAAGTGTACTCTTGGGGTGCCTGGGTGGCTCAGTTGGTTAAGTGTTTGCCTTCAGCTCAGGTCATGATCCCAGGGTCCTAGGATCAAGCCCCACATCTGGCTCCCTGCTCAGTGGGGATCCTGCTTCTCCCTCTCCCTCTGCCTGCCAATCCCCCCACTTATGCTCTCTCTCTCTGTCAAATAAATAAATAAAATCTAAAAAAGACAAAAAAACAAAAACCAGTAAGTGTACTCTTAATCCCCATCACCTATTTCACCCATCCCCCTAGGGCCCACCTTCCCTCTGGCAACCACCAGTTTGTTCACTTCATTTAAGGGTCTGTTTTTTTGTTTGTCTCTTTTTTTCTTTGTTTGTTTTGTTTCTTAAATTCCACATATGAGGGCGTCTGGGTGGCTCAGTCAGTTAAGTGTCTGCCTTCGGCTCAGGTCATGATCTCAGGGTCCTGGGATCAAACCCCACATTGGGCTCCCTGCTCAGCAGGGAGCTTGCTTCTCCTTCTCCCTCTGCCCCTGCTCCTGCTCTCCCTCGCACACATGCTCTCTCTCTAATAAATAAATTAAAATCTTTTTTTTTTTTTAAAGGGGAGCAGCAGACAGAGGGAGAGGGAAAAGCAGGCTCCCCGCCAAGCAGGGAGCCCAATGCGGGGCTCGATCCCAGGACTCTGGGATCATGACCTGAGCCAAAGGCAGACACTTAACTGACTAAGCCACCCAGGCGCCCCTAAGTTAAAATCTTTTTAAAAATTCCACGTATGAGTAAGATCATACGGTATTTGTCTTTCTCTGACTGACTTATTTCACTTAATATTATGCCCTCTAGATCCAGTCTTGCATATGGCAAGATTTCATTCTTTTTGATAGCTGAGTAATATTCCATTGTCTATATACCACATCTTCTTTATCCATTCATCTATAGGTGGACACTTGGGTTGCTTCCATAGTTTGTCTATTGTAAATAATGCAGGTAAACAATGGGATGCAAAAAAAAAACAATGGGATGCACATATCTTTTTGAATTCAGGGGTGAACACAGGGGTGCATATATCTTTTTGAATTAGTGTTTTCATATTCTTTGGGTAAATACCCACTAGTGGAATTAACTGGATCATATGGTAGTTCTTTTTTTAATTTTTTGAGGAATCTCCATACTGTTGTCCATAGTGGCTGCACCAGTTTGCCTTCTTATAATATGCCTTTTTTGAATATATCATTAAGATTGCCATAACACACCCCAAAATATTAGCAGTTATCTTTGTGTTGTGGGATTAGAACTAGTATTTTTATTTCATACATCAAATTTTCTAAAATAAATGTGTTATATAACTTCATGATCAGGGGGAAGACAGTATAAAATGGTAACGGTGGGAGAAGGTGGGAGAAAGAAAATCAGCAAATGAGACTGAAAAGGAGCAACTCAGAGGGAGAGACAAAAATCCCAGTGAAGTCAGTATTATGGAAACCAATGAGGAAGTTTGGGTAGCTCAGAGTGTTGAATACAGTAGAAAGGTAAAATCAGATAATGAATGAAGAGTGTCCACTGGATTTTGCAATCAGAAGTTGTTGTGACCTTAGTGGAGTAGAAGGCAGGTTGCACTGGAGAGAAGTGGGTGAGGACAGGGACAGATGTGGAACCAGTTCAGAGAGTTCTTCTCTAATGGCCCATATTTTCTCTCAAGGAGGAGGAGAAACCAGCAGCGAGGGATGGAGAGATGTGGTGGGGTATTTAATCATGGAATATTAACTTCAGTGCCCTTTTAGGAAACTACCCATGCAGCATCCCAACTCCCTTGAAAGAGGTTTCCCATGTCTTAATGTGCTTTATCTTTCAGAGTTGTGGAAAGTAAAAATTCAGCCTTCCCAGCAGGAACTGTGGTAGTGGCTTTTTCAGGCTGCACGACACACTCTATTTCTGATGGGAAAGATCTGGAAAAGCTACCCGCAGAGTGGCCAGACACAGTACCGGTGTCTTTGGCTCTGGGAACAGTGGGCATGACAGGGTGAGTTTCATGGGTATATTTCATTTGTTTAAATACCTGACATTCTGGTTTTCCAAAATAGTTTGTTCAGAATGTGGTCAACAAGAAGAAACTTGAGACAGTCTAGGCTCAGGGGCTGGTTAGAGTAGATGGTAGGACTAAGAAGGGAAGAAGATGGACTAGAGTTAGCCTTGGACTGAAGGAAAGAGGGAAAATGAGGCCAGAGACCCTCCAGTCCAGAGAGCAACAGAGCAGAGAAGCATGGGGCATGACCCCTCCCTAGCAGCGGGCAAATGGTAACACGACAGAACCAGCTCCCTCCATCTCTGGAAGTGTCTTGGCTTCACTCCTTACTCATCTCTACCTCCATTTCAGAGTTTAAAAGGGGGAAAAGAATTCAGTCTACCTTGGCTTTTCTGTACTGTCTCTCATTCCCCACCTTTCCCTATGCACATCTGAATTTCCTGAGGTATAAAGGGATCTGAGATTATTTAAATTGAGATGAATCATAAGTATGGTTGTACAGTCACTCAGCTTGACACAGACTTGAACTACTCAGGAGTTCCTTGGCCTTATCCCTCAGGAAGACTCCTGGGTCAGTTCATCCTGTCTCAACTGAACTTGGGACCTCAAGTTTCCTTTTATGGTCTGGAGAAGCAAGGTCAATTGAATTCCTTTTGTTGGAGTCCCCCCAGAACATTTTTAGTCTGGAATTCATGAATTTCCTTTCTCTCTCCAAGTTGTATGATCTTTCATTTCTTCCATCCTTCCTTCCTTCCTTCATCCCTTCCTTCCTTCCCCCCTCCCTCCCTTCCTCTTTCTTTTTCACACCTCAAAGGACTTCTAAAGAATGAAATGGAAATATATACCTCAAACGATCAGTCTCTAGCAAAAACCAGTCCCCTATACCCCAAGTTCATATTGCACTCAGAATATGAACTCCTCAGAATTGCCATGGCCAAGAGACAATATTGGCATTTAGAGGATGCTTAATACCTTACTTTCAATAAGTGGGCACTAAAAAGAATTATAGCACTTCCGAGTCCTGCCTGCTTGCCCTAGACCCTCTGCTAGTGAGAGCTCTTCCTCCCACCTTGTTATTCCACCTGTCTTTCTCTCTAAATTGTGAGCCAGGTGGAAGAAGGCAGGGGTGAAGGGAGACATGAGGAAACCTTGAAGCAAGTCTCCCATGACTTAGTTGGGGAGAGAGTAATCTATAAAATAGTAGGAGATTTGAATCCTAAAATAGAAGGTAATTTATTCATTTGTGTAGACTTCTCATTCCCCTGTTCGAAGCCCCTGAGGAGTGCACTTTTACTCCAAACAATCAACTTTATATCAGTGGTTCTCACTGATTGAGGAGAAGGAGTTATGCTGTTTCTAACCTCCTCTAGTGACATACTACCCATTCTTTGAGCATTCCTTACCAGTGGCCTGGGTCAGCCCTTCAAGAACACTGGAACTTCTGCTATAGACTATCAAAGAAGTTGAACTTTGAAACCTCGGGTGTTGCTGCTGTCCAGGCTCCAGAGATTTAACATTGCTCCAAAGTTTGCATGACTTCCTTCATCAGACCTTTGTTTTCTCTGTTAAGCTGGAGGTGTTTATGTGTTTTGCTCTCCAACCTGGTATTGATTGAAGTCCCCCTTAGACCAAAATGTGCCTTTAATTTTTCCTCTAAGATTTCTTTACTGTTGACTTCTCCATCTTACCTCCTTTCCATTTTTAGAAGGATGTGATGTTTGGGAAAGGCCTTGTGTATCTTGGGTCAGTAGGTCTAACTAAAAGCTGATGTTAGAATTTTCTAGGACAGAGATTGGGGTGGAGGGTACTGATTGTCATGGGTAGGATGACAATCAGAAAATGCACCTTCTGCTTCGCATTTGAGGTTTTGCTAACTTGTCCAGCACACTCAGCCTTCAGCATTAATGAAGGCAGTGGTTTTCAGTTGCTTACATTCATAAGAATCACCTAGTTGTATAAAATCCAGGTGTTCACGTTCCAGCATTTCTGAATGAGTGTGTCTGAAGTGGGGCCTGGGAATCTGAATTTTTCATAAAACTCCAGGTGATTCTGAGGCAGGTGGTGCTCCATCAGACTTTCAAAAAACAATGTGGGAATATTAGCTTTTGGGTCCTCAGAAAAAGTGCAGATTTCTGTGCCTTTCACTGCCTCACCTTCAATGTCCAACCCTAATGGATCCCCAGATATACTCAGAAGCAGACATACAGTTTCCGTTCATAAAGAAATAACTTTACATGAATTTGTCTGAAATTTTGCAAGTGGCTTAGCAATCGCCATAGTGGATATAGATTTCATTGGCTCAGACCCAGGGGTGCAGAAACATAACTTAGAATTTTTCTACTACTGTACATCATTTCTTTTTTTTAAACTTTATTTTATTTTTTTTTTTTTAAAGATTTTATTTATTATCAGAGAGAGACAGAGACAGAGAGAGAGTGCACAAGCAGGGGGAGTGTCAGGCAGAGGGAGAAGCAGGCTTCCTGCTGAGCAAGGAGCCCGATGTGGGACTTGATTCCAGGACCCTGGGATCATGACCTGAGCCAAAGGCAGACGCTCAACCGACCGAGCCACCCAGACGTCCTGACTTTATTTATTTTTTGACAGAGAGAGAGATAAAGAAGAAACACAAGCAGGGGGAGTGGGAGAGGGAGAAGCAGGCTTCCCTCTGAGCAGGGAGCCCAATGCGGGGTTCGATCCCAGGACCCTGGGATCATGACCTGAGCCGAAGGCAGACACTTAACAACTGAGCCACCCAGGTGCCCCTGTACATCATTTCTATCTCAAGCCTGCATCTTGGCTTGTGTAGTAAAACAGAGCCTCAGTTAAATTCAGTGATTTTTCATATTGTTCAGGTTTAAAACTCAGGATTTCCTTTTTTCCTCTCCCTAGGGTTGATGCAAAGTTCCAAGGGCTAACACAGATTCCGTGCCAGTAGAGGGGAGACAATAACTTCTTGAGCTTGATCTGTCTTAGTCTTATGCTGGTCTCCTTTTCCCACTGAATCCTCAGCCACATCGCCTTCCAAGCTGGCCATCCGAGCTGGTGGCTTCTTCACCCAGTACTTGTCAGTACTGTCTGAGCTGCATCTTTGTAGACCCTGTAGTTCTTTCCTTGACAGCTAACTTCGACATCTCATTTGGGATGAGATGGGGAAATTTCAGTTCTTCCATCCCACTTAGGAGCCATGGAAAACTCCAGGTGTTTCCCTGGGAACCTCTTATGCCTAGACACTGCATACCATTATATCTGTTCTGTGGCTGTGGCACCATGATGACATGGAGGCTTTCCTCATGAAGCTCACCCTCTCCCTAGGACACACATGGAATGAGACACAAGCTCTCTGTTCTAGGATCCTCAGAGTTTATCTTCTTTTGCTCCTGAGACTTGGCCTAGGGGTAGACAAAGTGCAGCCCCTTTCCAACCAACTCTCAATTTCTTCTCTAGTTCCCATCATCTTTATTCCTATTTAAGAGTGAGGAAGGAGGAGGTGGACCCACTTAGTGGCTGGTAATATTCATTTCCTATATTTTTTGTCTTTTATTTGGACCCATGGCACTGGGCTATTGAGAAGGCCTTCAGGATGTATCTGAAGCAACAAAGATATAAATATAGATTTATAAGCAACAAATCTATCCACAGATCTTTAATTTTCTTCCCCCAGGTTAACAGCCTCCTTTGGCCTACTTGACATCTGTGGTGTGAAGGGTGGAGAAACAGTGATGGTTAATGCAGCAGCAGGAGCAGTGGGCTCTGTGGTGGGGCAGATAGCTAAGCTCAAGGTAAGTGTCTTCTTCAAGTACCAAACATTTACTCAATACCCACAGTGTGCACTGGGAATACAACAGTCAACAGAGCAGAACTTCCCCAGTCTCACGGAGTTTAGTTTAGTGGGTCTTGTTTAGAAGTTGAAGATACATTAAGAATATAAGAGATTGGGGCGCCTGGGTGGCTCAGTTGGTTAAGCGACTGCCTTCGGCTCAGGTCATGATCCTGGAGTCCCGGGATCGAGTCCCGCATCAGGCTCCCTGCTCGGCAGGGAGTCTGCATCTCCCTCTGACCCTCCTCCCTCTCGTGCTCTGTCTCTCATTCTCTCTGTCTCAAAATAAATAAATAAAAATCTTTAAAAAAAAAAAAAAAGAATATAAGAGATTTCTGAAGAGCTACTCTCTGTGTTCCAATACAGTCTCAAGTCTCATCCCGAAAGTGCTTTTCAGAATGCTTTCCAGTTCCTCTATGATTAGACAGGATCTAGTCCAATGCTTTAGCCCAAATGAAAGAATAAGGGGGTAGTCACTGGGAGGGCTGACAGTCCCAGAGCTGAGCCCAAATTATAGTCTAAAGGACCACTGTACCAAAAGATAGCATGCAAGTCACTGCAAGAGAAGCCCAAAAATAAAGAAACAAGAGAGTCAAATAAAAAGGTTGTCAAGCCAACAAGTTAAAACGGGCTGCAAACCACATAACCAGAGACCGGAATCTGTTGGTTGGTCAGAGGCAGGCTGAAGTTACAAGTTGGATTGTAGGCTGATTCAGGGACTAATTTCTCCTATGGGCCTATTGGCCTATTGTGGTATCTTCATATATGTGAGCACTTTGGGTGTTCTTGGGGAACCTGACCATACTAGACTAGGAGGGGGGTTGGTCCATGCTTTTGGCTTATAAATGGTTTCCATTTTTTTCTCCTCATTTAGGGCTGCAAAGTTATTGGAGCAGCAGGGTCTGACGAAAAGGTTGCCTACCTCAAAAAGCTTGGATATGATGTTGCCTTTATTTTTTTTATTTTTTTAAAGATTTTATTTATTTATTTGACAGAGACACAGTGAGAGAGGGAACACAAGCAGGGGGAGTGGGAGAGGGAGAAGCAGACTTCCCGCCGAGCAGGGAGCCCGATGCGGGGCTCAATCCCAGGACCCTGGGATCATGACCTGAGCCGAAGGCAGACGCTTAACGACTGAGCCACCCAGGCGCCCCAATGATGTTGCCTTTAACTAGAAAACAGTAGAGTCTTTGGAAGAAACTTTGAAAAAAGCCTCTCCTGATGGTTATGATTGTTACTTCGACAATGTGAGTACAAATTGGACTTAATATCTTATTTTCTAACAAAGTACTATACAAGAGAATATGCTTCTAAAGTTTCCACCTAAAATATGTAAAGAAAGTACATATGCCTTTAAAAAAAACAGGCTTATTGAGATACAATTTACCCATTTTAAAGTGTTGAACCTAGTGGTTTTTAGTGTATTCCCAGAATTCTACAACCATCACCACAATCAATTTTAGAACATTTCATTATCCCAAAAAGAAATGCTGTACTCATTATAGTCACTCCCCATTTACCCCCAAAAGTGGTCTTTTGTGACTAGCTTCTTACACTATACATTAGCATGTTTTCAAGTTTCATCCATGTTGTAATGTGTATCAGTGCTTCATTCCTTTTTTATGGCCAAGTAATATTCCATTGTATGGGTATACTACATTTTATTTATCCATCCATCAATTGATGAGCATCTGAGTAATTTTCACTTTTTGGCTATTATGCTTAATGTTGCTATAAACATTCATGATCAAGTTTTTGTGTGGACATATGTTTTCATTTTTCTTGGGTATATACCTCTACATGGAATTGTTGGGTCATGTGGAAACTCCATATTTAACATTTTGAGGAACCAACAAACAATTTTGCAAAATGGCTGCACTATTTTACATTCTCACCAGCAATGTATGAGGGTTCCAATTTCCCTACATCCTCACCAACACTTACGGTCTATCATTTTTATTATGACTATCCTTGTGGGTTTGAAGTAGAATTTCACTGTGGTTTTGATTTGAGTTTCCCTAATTACTAATGATACTGAGCATCTTTTCATTTGTATATCTTTGGAGATATGTCTGTTCAAATCTTTTGCCCATTTTTCAATTGGGTTATTTGTTGAGTTTTAAGAGTTCTTCATAAAAGTTCTGATAAGCCCCTTATCGGATGTAGCCAATCCTCAATATTCCTGGTAGTTATGTTCTATCAAGTCACACATATGTACATGTTTCACCTTGATTACAGTCTTAAATCCTAAAAACAACTCTTCCTACAGCTTCTATTTTCTTTATTTTTCAAAAGAGAAAAGGAGGTTCAGAAGTGGTAAGAAGGTTGCCTGAGGCTGCCCCACAAACTCATTCTCCCAGATTTGGGGTTCACATCCCATCCAACCAGCCCTGGAGCTGGAGCTTTTTGAACTACTCTGCACTGCCCCCTACTGCCTTCCCTCCCGGGTAATCTCTGGGAGAGCTGAAAAAGGAACACAGACCCTCGGCCTTTGCTGACCTTAGCTGGGAAATTTGTGTCTCTTTTGCAGCTCTAGGCATGTCTCCAAATGAGCAGGCAAGCTCTGTGAGTGTTGATTTGGGGGTTATAAATAAATGTTAACAAGTAGTCCCATTCTCAAATATGGAATACACTAATAAAGAGGATTGACTATATGGTTTGCAGTTCTTTTCTTCTGTTCTGTGAGTTGTCTTTCACTTTCTTTTTTGCTTTTTTCTTTCACTTTCTTGATGGTGCCCTGTGAAGCACAAAAGTTTTAAATTTTGATGAAGGCCGATTTGTTTCTCCTTCTGTTGCTTGAGCGCTTGGTGTCATGTCTAAGAAGGCCTTGCCTTATCCAAGGTCACAAAGATTTACTCCTATGTTTCTTCCTTTCTTTAAAAAGATTTTATTTATTTTTTTAAAGACAGTTTTTTTTTAAGATTTTATTTATTTATTTGAGAGAGAGAGAGAGAGCACATGAGGGGGGGAGGGTCAGAGGGAGAAGCAGACTCCCTGCTGAGCAGGGAGCCTGATGCGGGACTCGATCCCAGGACTCCGGGATCATGACCCGAGCCGAAGGCAGTTGCTTAACCAACTGAGCCACCCAGGCGCCCCAGACTTCCTGATATTCTTGATGAAATAGTGTTTATTAAACTAAAAATATGTAATTTCATATATTTGTACTAAATAGCTTACTTTACACTTTGATACTGAGAAATAACAGAATCTGAAAATATAGAAGAATGTTGATAATTTTTTAAAGTTTTAGTTTTTTACCTATTGTTTTGGGCAAAGTTGTAAAAAGGCAGCCATGATTTGATTTAGAAACAGAACACCTTCGTCTGGCTGGTGCAATATGAGGGTTCTTTAGGATATTCGAGATGTTGCTGGAGGTATGGGGTTGGGGAGAGGATGACTTGGGTGGGTGAAGGGAACAACGGGCTGCCATGTCCTTTCATGGTAGTGGGCAGTGCTTCTGAGAGCAGCAGGACACACTGGCTCCCCCAAACTGGCAATTTCCATGGAAAGGGAAAGGAGTGTGCATTTCCCCTCTGTTCCTGGATTGTCCTTATTTTGATTCTCCTGTGCCTCTGTCCCCCACCTCTCCACTCTCCTATGCAGAGACCACCCCCTCCCCTGTCCATACCACAGAGGTCCAAAAGCAGTATCACCTAGAGAACTATATTCCTGAAGTCCTACTTCTCTGAGAGACATTGTACAGGCCTCTTATTTTATGGATGGGGAGATGAATGGCAAGAGGACCAGAGGCTCTTTAAATCCTATTAGCAAGACACTCAAAGGATGGGTCTTCTGAACTCCTCATACAGAGTCCTTCTCTACTACAACAATTATTTTTTTTTAAGATTTTTTTTTTAAAGATTTTATTTATTTATTTGACAGAGAGAGAGTTAGCGAGAACAGGAACACAAGCAGGGGGAGTGGGAAAGGGAGAAGCAGGCTTCCCACTGAGCAGGGAGCCCGATGTGGGGCTCAATCCCAAGACCCTGGGATCATGACCTGAGCCGAAGGCAGACGCTTAACGACTGAGCCACCCAGGTGCCCCTTTTTTAAGATTCTTATTTTATTTTACTTTATTTATTTTATTTTATTTTAGAGAGAGGGAGCTGGTGGTGGGGAGGGGCAGAGGCTGAGGGAGAGAATCACAAGCAGACTCTGAGCTAAGTGCAGAGCCTAACACAGGGCCCAATCCCACAACCCTGAGATCAAGACCCAAGTGGAAACCAAGAGTCAGTCACTAAACCGACTGAGCCACGCAGGAGCCCCTCAAGACTACAATTCTGTGCTGTTGGTGAGATTATAGATTTACCTGCGGTCCAAAAAAATGAGAAAAAAGAGCAAAAAGGAATCTTGGAGAGTGTCATCGGGATCTGGGATGATAACTGTAAATAAATTGGGTATTCATTCTGTGATGTCTTCACTCATGGGAATGAAACCCTACAGCCCTGCTAGTTAACAACCCCACAACTGCATTGAGACAAGTGAGCGAGAGTGGAAGGGGCTGAGAAAGGACAGCTTGTAGATTCCCTCTTGGTTCTGAAAAATCAAAGACACTACCTTCTCTAAGAAAACTCCAGGTGCACTTGGCAGTCTTATTGTTCAGGACTTTTTTCTCCTATATTTTCCTAACTGATGCTAAGCTAGAATCATGGGAAATCTTCTGTCTGCGCATTGAGCAAAGCTCCAGGATGCATTTTCTTGACCATAGTCCAATTAGGTACAGCCAAATATTTTGGATCCAGTAACTTGATCTAGCCTTTTTAGCAATTAGCGTTTGGAAGTTCAGCTGCTCAGATAGGTCTTTGAGGACATCAGCTGGCTTTGTCCATCCATTTTAGATGAGATTCTGCCCTGCCTCGGATCTCCAGAAATTCTGACATATTTCATTGTTAGGATAGGTCAGGGGTAATTAATTATTTTCCCCGGCTTTAATGCCACATTAAAATGCCACATTTTTTTTTCTTTGATGGGTTTTAACTATATTTTATTTTATTTTTTTAAGATTTTATTTATTTATTTATTTATTTCAGAGACAGAGCATGTGAAGGGGGAATGAGGCAGAGGGAGAGGGAGAAGCAGACTCCCTGCTGAGCAGGGAGCCCGACATGGGGCTCAATCCCAGGACCCTGAGATCATGACCTGAGCTGAAGGCAGACACTTAACCAACTGAGCCAAACAGGCGCCCCAACTTTTCTAAAATATAAATTCAATTAATTAACATATAGTGTATTATTAGTTTCAGAGGTAGAGTTCAGTGATTCATCAGTTGTATACAACACCCAGTGCTCATTCCATCAAGAGCCCTCCTTAATGCCCATCACCCAGTTACCGCATCTCCAGCAACCCTCAGTTTGTTTCCTATGATTAAGAGTCTCTTATGGTTTGTCTCCCTCTCTGGTTTTGTCTTGTTTTATTTTTCCCTCCCTTCCTCTATGCTAAAATGCCACATTCTTATTGCTCCCAATAAAGAAACTGTATTCCCATCAGAGTAGATAAGCCCAGAAATAGTATTTCATCCTCTTCCAGGATGAGGATATGAGGATTCCAGTCTTTAACTTAAAAAGAAATATGGTTGGTGTGGATCTTCTGAAGAAGCAGTCTTTCTGCAAGAGCAGCCCCGCAACTGGATGTGCCACTCTCCTGTGTCACCCTCACATCTCACTCATCTTGCATTAGTTTGTTTTGGTTTAGGACAAAGCCCTATTTTTCTGACTGCTCCTGTGACTTTCTTCAAAGTAGTGAGTGGGAACTTTCAGCTTAAGTGATGCCAGTCACCAAGGATGTCGCAAATAAATTCTGCCAGTCACCTTGCTCTTCTTCCTGAGCATTTTCACCTGACTTCCTGGAATTTTTCTTTTTTTTTTTTTAATTCTTATTTATTTATTTGACACACAGAGAGAGAGAGAGACAGCAAGAGAGGGAACACAAGCAGGTGGAGTGGGAGAGGGAGAAGCAGGCTCCTGGCTGAGCAGGGAGCCCAATGCGGGGCTCGACCCCAGGACCCTGTGACCATGACCCGAGCCGAAGGCAGACGCCCAACGACCGAGCCACCCAGGCGCCCCTTCCTGGAACTTTTCACACTATGCTCATGGGTCATTCCCTCAGTTTCTGGTCCCTTAGGATGCTTGAGGAAACAAGCCAGGCAACCAACACAACCTTTTCTCTCTCACACAGTAGATAGAGTACCATCTTCTTAATAGGCCGCAGGGTAGCCTGGGGCTTTTTCTAGGCTGGTGGTTCTCCAAGTGTGGGCCCAGGACCAGCAGCATCATCATCTCCTGAGAACTTGTTAGAAGTACAGATTCTTGGGACCCACTCCATATCCACAGTCAGGAATTGGGGGAGGGGCCAACGTCCTCTTTCCACAAGCCCTTTGTGTGATTCTCATCCACACTGAGTTGTGAGACCACTGTTTGGGCCAACTCCTGGTACCCCGAAATGGTGAGGTGGAGTTGCTGAGCCTCTTGATCATTCTCTCTTAGCTCTTGGGCCAGAGGTGGACATTAGCTTTTTTTATATCTGCTTTGAGAAGAGAACAGGAGATAGGGCTATGCCATAGAATGACTGCCATAAAAAAAGAACAAAACATGCGAAGTAAGACATAAAAAAAGAATACAACATGCGAAGTATCAGGAATATCAGGGTATTTAAGCCTGAGTAGCCCAGAAACACTTCCACAGGTTATCTTCAGGACCTCTTTCTGTTCCATAGAACTGTTTGGGACGTTTTTGGTGGGTCTTGTTCCTGGCATGTGAAGGCTGAACATTCCCTGGCTGCCTGGCCTGGATAAGGGCTCTGAGGGTGGGTCAGTCCGATTGCTGCTGTGACAAATTATCTCAAGTTCAGTGGCTACAACAACACAGATTCATTGTCTAATAGTTCCAGAGATCAAAAGTCTACAGGGGGTGAGCAGGGCTGAATTCTTGCCGAAGGCTCAAAAGGAGAAGCTGTTAACTTGCCTTTTTCAGCTTCTAGAGGCTGCCTGCATCCCCTGGCTCGTGTCCCTTCCTCCATCCACAAAGCCAGCAGCAGGGTCTTCCAGTGTCTCTCTCTCTCTCACTCTGATCTGTGCTTCCATCATCACACGTTTTTTCCTGCCTCTGACTTTTCTGCCTCCTTACAAGGGCCCTTGTCATTATATTGGGCCCACCTGAATAATACACAATAATCTCTTCAGCTAAAGGCTCTTAACTTGATCATACCTGAAAAGTCCCTTTTGCCACGTAAGGAAAGACATTCACAGGTTCTGGGAGTTCAGATACGGCCATCTTTGGGGACCAAGATTCTGCCTACCACAGAGGCCATGTTGATTTGTGGACAGCCCCATGGATCAGAAACGAGTGGAGAAATCTAGAACAGTGTCGTGACTTGTACTGCTTGTGTTTTCACCACGGCCACCTCCCTGGACCCTGTCACCTAAATGTGTCCTCCTGTTCACAGGCCCACCCCAGAGAATATTATCTATCAGCAGCTCCGCATGGAAGGGTTCATCGTCACCCACTGGCAAGGAGAGGTCCGCCAGAAGGCTCTGAAAGACTTGCTGAAATGGGTCGTAGAGGTAATAGGCTCCAGAGCCCCTGTCCCCGTTGCACACGAGATCGCATTCCCTCTCCACACTATAGGTTTCACCTGCACTGCAAATACAGGTGTATCTCACAGCTCCCCCTTCTAGAACAAAATCCCAGAGTTGTTCACACGCACCGTCTGCAGTTCCTCTTGTTCCATTCTTTCTCAAACCCACATATCAGGCTTTTACACTCTTGCCATTCTACCAAATTGCCTTTGTCAAGGTTGACGATGTCCTCCTGCTGTGAACTGCAGGGGTCAGTTCTTGGCTTTGATTGGCTGTGGCGAGTATCGGACAGAGGTGATCACGCTCTCCTCGGTACACTTTCTTCCCGTGGCTCTTGGTTTTCCTCGCAGATTTGTCCTCCTCTGCCAGCTTCTTTTCTGCTCTCTAAATTAATAATAGAGTGTCCCAAGGGACAGGAGTGGGCTCACTGGGCTTCCTTTCTTCTCTACCCAAGTCTGCCTATCCCTTACTTAGCTCAGTCAGGCTCTTGGCTTTAAATATCCTCCACATGCTGACAGCTCCTAAATGTCTGTCTCCAGCCTGGGTCTCTCCCCTGGGCATTCGGCCGCTCAACAGCTGCACTTGGATGTGTAATACACATCTTTGACTCAACACGTCAAAAACGAAATATGTCTTGATCTTTCCTGCCAAACCCATTCCATATACAGACCTCACCATCTCAGTTACGGCAATTCTATCCTCCTAGTTGCTCAATCCAAAAACCTTGAAATCATCTTTGATTCCTTTCTTTCTCTCCTACCCACATCTCATCTGTTGGGAAATTCTGGTATCTCAACCTTCAAACTACCCGCAGAATCTGAGCAGCTCTCCCACCTCTGCTGCTACCACCCTGGTCCAGACTGCCATCTGGTCTAGCCTGGATGTTGCAGGAGACCCTGTCTGACCTCCTGACTTTATGCCCCAACAGACCATTCCCAAAACAGCTGCCAGAGTGATCTTTTAAAGCATAAATCAAACCATGTAATTCTTCGGCTCAAATCCCTGCAAAACTCCCCCATTTCACATAGAATAAAACTTATAAGGCTGGGGCGCCTGGGTGGCTCAGATGGTTAAGCGTCTGCCTTCAGCTCAGGTCATGATCCCAGGGTCCTGGGATCGAGTACCGCATCGGGCTCCTGGCTCAGCGGGGAGTCTGCTTCTCCCTCTCTCTCTGCCTCTCCCACTGCTCATGCTCTCTCTCTCTCTGTATCTCTGTGTCTCAAATGAATAAATAAAATCTTTAAAAAAAAACAAAAACTTATAAGGCTGTACATGATCTGACCTCCATTACCTCTCTAATTTCATTTCTTAGTGTTTACCCCCTTGCTCACTCTGCCCAATCCCTCCCCACTTCCCTCTGTCCCTCTGTAACTGCTTCCTTAATTCGCTCATTCCCTGTAGGACTTTGTTAAAAACTACCTTTTGAATGAAGCAACTTTTAAAATGGTCCTATTTTATTTTATTTTATTTTATTTTTAAGGTTTTATTTATTTGAGAGAGAGAGAATGAGAGAGAGCATGAGAGAGAGGAGGGTCAGAGGGAGAAGCAGACTCCCTCCTGAGCAGGGAGCCCGATGTGGGACTCGATCCCGGGACTCCAGGATCATGACCTGAGCCGAAGGCAGTTGCTTAACCAACTAAGCCACCCAAGCGCCCCAAAATGGCCCTATTTTAAATTGCAATCCCTCTTCATTCTTTTTTTAAAGATTTTATTTATTTATTTTGGGAGAGAGAGAACATGCATGTGAGTGCGTGTGCATGCAAGCCAGGGGAAGGTGGGGAGAGGACAAGCAGCCTCTATACTCAGTGCGGAGCCCGTTGAGGGACTCGATCCCATGACCCTGAGATCACAACCCCAAGCTCACGACCTGAGCAGAAACCAAGAGTCTGATGCTTAACCGACTGAGCCACGCAGGTGTGCCTGCAATCCCCCTTCATTCTTGGTCCTCCTTATCTTACTTTTATCCTCAGCAGTTATCACCTTTTAACATAATGTATACTGTAATTCACTTATATTTATTGCCCATCTCCCTCCTGTGAGAATGTAACCTCCATGAAGGCAGTAACGTCCGTGCATTTTGTTTTCTGATGTACCCTCAGCATCTAGAATAGTGTCTGAGCCAACGTAAACACTAGATGAATATCGTTGAGTACATGCTGGGGGGGCATATATTCGTGCCATGGCTCTTCCAGGCCCTAGGTTGGTGTCTTCTTAGAGCCATGGCCTTAGATCCACGGGAAGAAGCCCATCCCCTTGTCCTGTGCTGTGATACTTTCCCACCTTACACCACGTGGTTATTCAGGGTTACCCAGGGGCATTATTTTAGTTTTAGAGGGAAAAAGTGGTATCACACTTCTAAACTCCTGGCTTTATCATCATTTCCCAATTCAAAGAAATAAATTGCTCCTCTGGCAGCCGTTGGAGCTTGGTGTTTTTCCCAGTCCAACTCTTGGAGTGCTGAGCTGGGCTCTTTCCAGGAAGCTGAGAAGAGCTGAATGATTTTAAGTTCCCACTGTGGAGCCTCTTTGTCCCTGTTGTTGAAATCGGATCTAGCCCTCCCACGATCACAGCTGACGACAAGAAGCCACTGTGCTGGGGTCCCGAATGCCTCCTTCTAACAGAGTGGACCTAATGACAGTTTTGTTTTCAGTAACTAGTGAATTGGCCTAGTTTCTCTCTCGTCTACTTATTTTTTTTTTCTCATCTCTTCCCCTTCTGAAAAATACACTTTTCTTTTAGAATAGTTTTTGATTTACAGAAAATTCACAAAGTTAGTACAAAGAGTTTCCATATGACCTGTATGCTGTACCTTAATTTACCATATTATCAACATTTTTATGTTAGTATTCATCTTCAACTTTGAACTTTTAAACTTTGGGTTACAGCTTTTAACCCCTTTTCAGGTTCTTTGCCTCTTTAAGAACAGGAAAGAGCTGGGGCTTTCTAGTCAAGAGTTCAAATCCCAGCTCCTATGCATATTAATTTGTTGAGTGACCCCCACCCCCAGGCAAATAGTCCCTCCATAAATCTATACCGGGTGCTAAGCCATCACTGGAATACATTAAGAAAGTAAGTGGTATCAGGTAACTCCTGTCTCCACATAAGACCCCTTTTAAAAAACCTTGAAAATGTAAATTAGTTCCACTTAGTAGACTGCCTTGAAGTAGAAAGAAAAATGAAAAACCCTCACTAAATGAACCCTTCCCTCCCGCACTCCTAAGTGAATGTTCAACATATATTGAAAGAACCTGGGCTTGATTCGAGGACAAACTATTAGACTGCCATTGTATTTACATTTGCTGAACAGGCTCTGCCTCTTCAGGGGTCAAAGAGGTAATGATGCTATGTCATGAAGCTACTGGAAGGATTAAAACAGATAATACCCTGCAAGGGGGCCCTTTTCTCCATCTTCTTCCATCTCTTCTGAGATCATTACATTACTAAACTTTTCCATATAATTTACTTAGAAATTGCTTGATCGCTTCCTGTGACATTTCTCCTATTATTATACTGTGATCTAACACCTATTATCAACATTCTATCTGTACTTTGTGGATCATGCCCCGAGGTTGACTAGAAGTTCACGGAGGACAGGGCCTCCATCTTAGATTTCCAGGTTTCCCATAGTGTACCTGATAAATTTGTTGCTATGATGAGAAGAGTATATCATTTAGAATATGAAATTAATCTGTTATATTTGTCGTCATTCTGATACAGGGTAAAATCCAGTACCATGAATACATCACTGAAGGATTTGAAAACATGCCAGCTGCATTCATGGGAATGCTGAAAGGAGATAATTTGGGAAAAACAATAGTGAAAGTATGAAAAAAATGACACACGGAATCTAGAAATCATTTGGATAATTACTTAATTTCTTCTTAACCACTTAGTAAAAATGTATACTACCTTCATCATCTAAGAAATAGTCATTGTGATGAGTTTGATCTCCCTAATAAAACACATCTAAGTGGTATGTAATTAGAACAGAGAGTGAAAATTTCATAGTGAACAATGGCCAGTCACCTCACTCCCTACTACAGCTCCTGGGTTGTGGTGCAAAATAATGGTTTGGAGTCCAAAAGTTTACTGCTTCTGTGACTTTGGAGTTCTGATTTTTTTTTTTTCCTGATCTGTAAAGTGAGGAGAGTAACATCTGCTTTATATACATATTATAAATTTATTTAAAACACCAGCATAGGGGCACCTGGGTGGCTCAGCTGGCTAAGCATCTGACTTGATTTCGGCTCAAGTCGTGATCTCAGGGTTGTAGTATCCAGGCCGGCATCAGGCTCCGTGCTCAGCGGGGAGTCCACTTGGGACTCCCTCCCTCTCCCTCTCTCCTTTTCCTCTCACCACACATGTGCTCTCTCTCTCTAAAATAAAAAATCATTAAATATTCAAAACGAAACAAAAACGCCAGCATAAGGCCTGGTCTATATTAGGTACACAGTATTAGCTACCTTCTTGCAGAAATCAGTGAATTTGAAGTCATAAGGTTACCACCCTTATTGCTTATGATTACATGAGAAGAAATAATCATTGCTAATGTACAGGGGTCTCGGGGCAGCCCACACTGCTCCTCCACAGCAGCCTTCTAACATCCCAGTCCATGGAAGGGATTTATTGTTCACAACAGCTGCAAATAGATAACACATGGGAATATGAGCCTACAAAAATGTGTGAGATTATATGAGGAACACTTTCAAGCTTTATTTATTTATTTATTTTTTAGTAATCTCTGCACCCAGCATGGGGCTTGAACTCATGACCCCTAGATCGAGTCAGATGCTCCACCAACTGAGGCAACCAGGTGCCTCATGAATACTTTCTAGCTTTAAGGCACTACTCAGGAACGCAAAAGACTGGAACATTTAGAAAGGTACCATGATTTTGGACAGGAAGATTTAGAATTATGAAGATGTCAAATCTGTTGATCAATTCTGCCTCCAAATAGAGTAGGGATTAAATCAGACCACCATGAA